CACTCCAGTATTCATGCCTGGAGAATTCCATGGACAGAGAAACCTGGGGGGACTACAGTCCGTGGGGTCACAAGGAGTCAGACATGACTGAGCAACTTAGCACACATGCATGTAGCAAAACCTAGAAATGTGTTGAGATTCTGTGATGGTCTGTGAAGCTGCATTACACCCTCCTCTCTGCTTTGGGTATCCTTGTAAATTCACATAACACATTTTCAGAAGGTGATTTGAACTGTTATTTGGACCCTGTGGTTAGAGGATCCACACTGAGCATAAATGTATTTGCTAAACTAGTGCTTTTTATCAATATCTTCATGGATCCTCTCACTGTTCTTTTTTTCTATCTGAAATTTATGACTGGAAATAGCAAGCCTGTTTTCTATCTCTCACCACATAAAAGCAATCGTATTTGGAATTATGTTAATACAGTTTGCCCAAGTTGGAGGGAGAGCATTTGCAAATTCCCACTGTGAGAATATCTCTAAATATTAGTAAAACATTAGGTGGCCACAGAACACACGTGGAGGATTTTGAAGTGTGTTAATGGTGGGCTCATGAGCAACTGGCTACTTTGGCTGAAAGATGTTCCAGGGATATTTGTTCATCTTCATTTGTGTTTTATTCAGAACTCCAAGAATAAAAAAGCAGCACTATATGTAAATCCTGGAACACTTGGCCCTTTCCCTGAACACACCATCATTTTGGCAATCTGAAAGGGAAGTCACAGTCCTAAAGTTTCACATGGAGCTGTAAGCATGAAATTTATTTTAATGTTTCTAAGTAGCATGTGTACAAATGAGGTTTGCAGTTAGGGATGCTCATATTTTCCCCAAACCTCTCATTCATATATGTGGGTTTTTTAATGTTTTCTAATACTCTAAAAGGAAATAAAAAGAAGAGATATTTTTCTTTAAAATCAAAGTCTCTTCTCAGTAATAAATTTTCACTTTAGAACTCAGTAGGGTTTCTCATGAAAGGAAATGAAACAGTTTTGTCTTTCTGTCTTAGTGAACAGAAGATTTCCCAAGCAGTCTCCAACTCATAATTAAGCCAGTAAAAACCCCACAGTGGAAATATATGTATACACATATGCCTGTGTTTGACCGAAGCCAAAGTTTACCAGTTAGGTGGTTGTCTAGATGTAAATGTTCTTTGTATGGCATCCTTGCATCTGGAAGAAAAATGAAAACTCTAGCTAGAGCCTGTCCAAGCAGAGGCAACTGCAATGATATTCCAACTGAGGAGGTGACACCAAAGACCCTGGGAGACACAGCCCTTTCCCCCCCACCTCCGCCCCACCCTTCTCCACCCTCCACACCTAGCTGGTGACTCTTTGATCTGTCACCATGTCTGGACATGGACCTGCAGTGCCTGTCTTGTTTGTGTGGGGAGTAGTGATTGCTGGTAACATCACTGCAGTTGGGGAAGAGCTCAGAATTGATCGCTCCAGTGCTGATCCAGGCCAGTGTCCTATTCACGGTGGGCTCTGCCCACCAGGCCAGCTCCCCAGTCTCAGGACTCAGCCTCTCCTGTGGGACAGGGCTCCCTCTATGCTCTGGGGGCTTTATTTGTTAATGGAAATGAATGCCAAACCACTGAAAAGAGGGCCTTGTGGTATAACTCCTGGCACAGTCTGATTTCAAACTTCTAGAGAATTCCTATTGAAAACTTCTGGCAAATACCTATTGAAAACTTCTAGCAAATTCCTTTTTAAAGCGGTCAGAAATTCCCTTCCGGCAGGTAATGCAGACACCTCAACCAGGCTGATGCCAGCTGCACGGAGTCAGTGAAGAACGTTTAACCAGCAGAGTCAGAAAATGAAACTGAGAAGAATCAGCTCTTTCCTTTGGAACACATTCCTCCTGTCGGATGGATTTTCAAAATGCGATCATTTTTCATCAGGCCAATTTCCACAACAGGCAAAACAGATTCAGAGCCCACCTGGGGATGTTGCTGAGTTGTCCGAGAATATGTGTATGTCATTTGTAGCCTCCGGCAACGAACAGACCACTTCACTTGCTCTCCTGGTGCCTGTTCGAGGACCAACGAGTGAAGCAGGCAGGCCATGCCTTGATCACCATCCTGACAACATGCGTGGGAGAAACCAGAGCTCTCTCCCCGAGTGAGCATCATTGGTCTGATGAGCAGAGGCCTGCACACCCAGCAGACACGGAGGCCCAAGCACCCCTAGCCTAACAGCAAGATGGAGAGCAACCTGGGTTTTTAAGCAAACCCACTGGTGCTGCCGTTGTTGTTCAGTCGCTCAGTCATGTCCAACTCATTGCAAACTCATAGACTGCAGCACGCCAAGCTTCCCTGTCCTTCACTATCTCCCGGAGTTTGCTCAAACTCTTGTCCATTGAGTCGGCGATGCCATCCAGCCATCTCAAACTCTGTCTTCCCCTTCTCCTCCAGCCTTCAATCTTTCCCAGCATCAGGGTCTTTTCCAATGAGTCAGTTCTTCACATCAGGTGGCCAGAGTATTGGAGCTTTAGCTTCAGCTGACCTCTTTCTAAAAAGAACTGTTGAGTCACAAGCTGCCCTTTTAAAAACACAGAAACACCATATACGGGTCATTCAGTCCTAGGACATGGAATGAAGCCTGAATCATCAGGCGTGCTAAATGGACTGCCTCTCATCACCACCCTGCTAGCAAGGCAGCATTCCTGTAGGTGGCTGGTGTGTCACACAGAGTTAGAGGTTAAAGGTAAGGACACGTTAGGAGGAGGAGCATCAGAACAGGTGCAGGTCTATAGTTATGGGACACATGAGTGAGGAACCTGTGCTCCCTCCCCCGCTCTGGTTCCTCCTGGGCCAGGGATGGTCCACCTGGGGTGCGAGTGGTCCAGAGCCCAGGGCAGGATGGACAGGAGGCTGAAATGGGATCTGGACTGGGAATCACAGGAGTGCCTCAGCTCCCAGCCATCAGTTTTCAGCAAATAAAAATAAAATGTAAAGTCCTACTCCCACTTTTATGTACTCTTAAGAGCTTTCTTTTTACGGTTTTGCTTCCATCAGTGTGTGTGTGTGTGTGTGTGTGTGTGTGTGTGTGCACATGTGTGAGACTGGAGTCTGTGAAGACAGAGATTAATGGCTCTTCTGCAGATCAAGGCCCCGCTATTAACTCGCCTGCGCCCGAGCCACCACATCACTCATCTAAAACACCTTATAATAGTCTGATTGAATGGGAGGGTGATTTTTATGATGTGAGTTAAATGGAAATTAGGGTGATTTTTGAAACTCTAACATATGGCCCCTACTGATTACTTTTCCCAACAAATTTTTCATGTGGTCATAATCGAAATTTAAATAAGAGTCTTTGGGGGGAAAAGCCGGTGTATGAACGCCCTGTGCCCTCAGGCCTCCTAGGAGGACAATAAAAACCAAATTTCCTGAAGTCGAAGGAAAATGCGAGGCAAGTGGAAAATTAATGGTCAGGAAAAAAACACCTCCAGAAAAAAAAAAACAAAACTCCCTGCAAATGTCTTTCCTAACAATAGTTTTCAGCCAGAATTGACAAGAGAGAGTGGAGATTTTCTGATAAGGCCGCAACCAGATCTGCAGAGCTTTGTGAGGCAATCAGCCCAAACACCGACATAAAACGGCTTTAATTGAGGGCACGTCCCTTCTAGATCATGCCTCCTGATACAATGCATGTGGTGAAAATGTTCCTAAACCATCTATGCAGTCTTACTAAGTCTAAAACTACCTCTTTTTAAATTACAAAAGAAACATGTGCCCACTGTGGACATTTTTGAAAAAGCACAAAAGTACAGAAGGAAAGATAAAAAATAGAGATACATTAATAAAATCCCAAGACCCAGAGGTACAAGCTGTGAGTAGCTGTTACCATCTTCATACTTTCTAGTCCTTTTTTAAAAAAAATATGCCTTCCTAATGTAAAGTATTTGAGATTGTGCTGCTCATCAGTGTAGTCTGCTCCTTCTCAATTTCATAGGCTCCACATTTTATAATGCCGCTAAAGACTCTTCATAAAATCCTTTGTAAAACCATAACAACACATGACTGTCCACAGTGTACACCGTCTGCACGGGTGCCACGCTTTCATGATTGCATTTGTAATTTCCCTTCTCTACCACCAAATACCTAGGACTAATTTAACAAAACGTGAAAGTGAAAGTGAGTCACTTAGTTGTGTCCAACTTTTTGTGACACCAAAGACTGTAGCCCACCAGGCTCCTCTGTCCATGGGGATTCTCCCGGCCAGAATACGGGAACACACTGATTAAAGAGTTTGTGTTCTTTTTCTTAAGATCAGAGGCAGTTTGGTAGCTGTTACTTAGATGCCCAAATACTGGAAGGGATAGAAATTTTCAACATCTTTGGAGGAAGGTAGGGGTTGAACACCAGGAATTAAGTCTTAGTTTCAGGTGTGCAGCAACGTGATTCAGAATATATATCTTCTTTTTCAGACTCTTATCCATTATAGGTTATCACGAAATTTTGAATATAGTTCCCTGTACTATATAGTAGGTCCTTGTTGCTAAATACACTGTAATTTTTAAAAAATGTAAGGAAAGAAATTGTCTTTTCAAGTTTTGGGGAAAGTTTGATGACTTTAATATAGCACATTCCCAGGGATTTTAATAGATCACTTATGTAATGTGTTGTACCTGTGAAAAGAAAGACACCTTCTGTGACAAAGGCAGGGAAAGGCTCCACGCGTATTAGGATCCTGGAGACTGCTCTTGAGTAGGGGGTCAGAGAAGGCAATGGGAACCCACTCCAGTACTCTTGCCTGGAAAATCCCATGAACAGAGGAGCCTGGTAGGCTGCAGTCCATGGGGTCGATAAGAGTCTGACACAACTGAGCGACTTCACTTTCACTTTTCACTTTCATGCATTGGAGAAGGAAATGGCAACCCACTCCAGTGTTCTTGCCTGGAGAATCCCAGGGACAGGGGAGCCTGGTGGGTAGCTGTCTGTGGGGATGCACAGAGTCAGACACGACTGAAATGACTTAGCAGCAGCAGCAGCAGCAGCAGCAGCAGCAGCAGCAGGGGGTAGGGGCTGCTGTAAGGTGCAGGATTGGCCCCTTACATCCTCTTCAGTGACTGGGGGTTTTAAAGGGCCACAGGGGCCACTCAAAGGCTGAGTATCTTGCTCATCACAGGAGGTGCTCGGGACAGTCCTGCTGCTGTGGTTACAGCTGCCAATAACAAGCCTAGTACCTATTCACCACAGTGCAATGTATCTGTTATAATAACATAGTTAATGATGGTATGGTTAAGGATGGTATAGTTATTACAATAGTATAGTTATTAGTGATACAATGCTAATAATAATGTCAATATTATAACATAGCTATTAATAGTATACTATAATACATAATATGCCACTGCTGAGTCATTCAGTTGTGTCTGACTCTTTGCAGCCCTGTGAACTATAGCCCGCCAGGCTCCTCTGTCCATGAGATTTTCCAGGCAGAAGTACTGGAGTGAGTTGCCATGGCCTCCTCCAGGGGCTCTTCCTGACCCAGGGACTGAACCCATATCTCTTACATCTCCTGCATTGCTGGCTGAGCTGTCGAGGGGAAGCCCGATACATAGCACACTATGTTAATATTCAGTTCAGTTCAGTTGTTCAGTCATGTCTGACTCTTTGTGACCCCATGAATTGTAGCACACCAAGCTTCCCTGTCCATCACCAGCTCCCAGAGCTTGCTCAAACTCATGTTCATTGAGTCAGTGATGCCATCCAACCGTCTCATGCTCCATTGTCCCCTTCTCCTGCCTTCAGTCTTTCCGAGCATCAGGGGCTTTTCAAATGAGTCAGTTCTTCGCATCAGGTGGCCAAAGTATTGGAGCTTAGTTAGCAACATTTCTTGTCAATGGTGCTGTACAGGAAACAAAATGGCATTAATATTCTAAAGATATGATTACACTTGTTCATTTTCATATGTGTGTTACACATATACTTGTGCATATATGTGTATTAGATATTAGATATGTGGGTGTATAAACTAGACTCCATAAGGGAAAAAAACTAGTTTTGAAAGGACATTGGAGAATTTTAACTCAAGAGACGATGATTTGGGAAAAGTAAGGATGGGTTTTTTTCTAAATGTTGATGCCAAAATTGGCTATCCAGGTTGGGACAGCAATTGCAAGAAAGATCTCAGAGTAGAGAGAATGGTTTTGGTCCTGGGTGGTCTGGGAATGGAAGATGGTAAAGAGGGCTTGGGAGGAGGTATAAACTAGGAGGGCCAGATCCTGGAAGGGAGCCCAAGGAAGTTTATTTTTTTGGCAGGAAACAGAGAAAGGGTTTCTCTGGAGGGACAAGGTCTCAGCCACAGGTCACCAGGTCTGGAGACCCTTCCCTCACCTCCTCAGGCTGAGCATCTGCCTCCCTGCCTCCGGAAGGGAGAGAATTCTACCATCTAAGCATCCTCACGAAGCCTTATTCAGTGAAACTCAAGCCACTGCAACACCCTACCCAGTGCTGAGACCAACATGGTAACTATTGTTTGAATCAACTTTATACCTGGAGGAAGTTTCAGGAGGAACACGTGAACCCCAAAAAAGAAGTAGAGAAAGAAAGCTGACGTAAGAAGGTGGGTGAGTCCCACTGAGACATTGCAGGGAGGCAAAGGCCACCCACTGGACCCAGAACTGGCCCGTGAGAAAGGCTCCATCTCAGCCCATTACCTGCAGGTGAGTGTTTAAGAAACCAAAGAAAAACAAAACACTGGTTTCACTAGTGTTCATAATAAATCTAAATGCTTTGCTAATTGCCTGTCATCACTACAAATAAATCGTGTTTTCGGGGAGTTTTTATTTTTTTTAAAGCCCTGGAAATAAATCAGAACTTTTAATTCATTTGAAGACATGGAGACAAAAGAGGGGGCAGTGCTCAAGGATAACAGGGAGATCTGGAGCTTTATCTGAAAGGTGCTACTGAGCAAGGTGAAGACGAGAACACAATCAAAAGCCAGCTAGAAACAAGTCTTCCAGACGATGGAAGTGCTGATTGTTTACGTACCATCTCTTCTAATCTAAAGACCCAGGGTAACACTTGGGCTGAGGGAGGGGAGGTTGCAGGATGGGATAAGGGGTGGGGGACAGCAGTTCCCAGAAGGAGTGGAGATGAGACACCCCCACCTTCTCTGCAGGCCTGTGGGACCTGCAAGTGTACGTTTACATGCTGGTTTCTTCAGCACCTCCAGATGTCACTTGTGGCTTCATGACACTTCTGTTTTTTCTCAAATGTAGAATTTAATACAGTATCAAATTACATCACTCACTGTGCCTGGAAATTACCTCTTAACTTCCACCAACCGACTGACAGATGGCATGGCATCACAGGAGACGTGTCGCCAGAACACGTTTGCTGCCAGTGTGCTGCTGACTTCTTCCAAAAAAGTCATATTCAAATAAAATGTTAGGAAATGTAAATGCAGAGCTTCGATCCATGTGCCGATAATAATTATCACAGCAAACTCACTGCGCTGAATCCCCTTAGGGTTTTAACAAGAAAAATGTCAAACTGAGATATAAAGTTTAGGCTAAAAATTGAGAGCAAATTATTGAGGGATGACTAGATGGAGCATAGAGGATTTTTATGGTGGTAAAAACATCCTGTGTGACACTATAATGATGAATACATGTCACTAAACATTTGTCCAATCCCATAGAATGTACAACACCAAGAATGATCCTTGATGTCAATGTGGACTCTGATGATGACGCGTCCATGTAGGTTCATCAGTTGTAGCACATGGACCGCCTGATGGGGATTTGATTGTGGGGAAGAAAGTAAGGAGAAGGGGTAGATGGAAACCTCTCCTGCTTCTGCTCAGTTTTGCTGTGAATCCAATCAGCTCTAAGAAATTATCGTGGTTGTTGCTCAGTCGCTAAGTCATGTCTGACTCGGTGACCCCGTGGACTGCAGCATGCCAGGCTTCCCTGTCCATCACCAGCTCAACTCATGTCCATGGAGTTGGTGATGCCATCCAACCATCTCATCCTAAAAAGTAAAGTCTATTAAAAAATCTATAGCAAATTATTGATCAAGGCTATTAAACTTCATTCAGAATCAAATGAGACAGTCTTTTTTTTTCCAATGTGACTGTGAATTGCTTTAAACTGGAAGAACTTGTGTGTTTATCTGAGAAGGAAAAAGGATGTGCAAGTCCCTGCCGTCGGGAGAGAATTTGAGAGGAAGAGGTGGAGGAAGTCTGAGTCTGCCCAGCCTGCACGTCCAGCCCTTACAGAGTGGGAAGCAGACTTCCTGCCACCTCCCACCCCGGGGCCACTGGGACCCCATCCCAGGTCCCAGTTTCCCCTGGCTTCCCCACCCTCTCCTCCACCAGGTCACCATGATCAAACCTTGGTGGTGGAGGACTTCTGGGGTCAAGGACCACACTCAGCCACATGGCCATCTGGATGCTGACTAGCACAGCCATCGAATCAGGACTTCGCTGATCCTGGAGCTCTCAGATGGTATTTCTGAAATATGTCAAAGCCACGCCTTCCTGGGGGCTGGAGAAAGAAATATCAGGGTCTGTTTACCGGTCCAGGCACTTGGCCCACCCCCTCTCATTCGTTCCTGGATTAACAGTGTTGATGTCTTTCCACAAAGCCAAAGCCTGGAGGATTTGAGAACTTAATTATTTGTCGGTGAAAATAATTAAAGGAAGGTGACATTGCATCCTGCTGTTTCATTTACAACATGGTTTTCCAGGATCTCTGCATCAACCCTCGCAACCACCCTGCCCCATAAGCAGTGCTATTACCTCCTTTATATATGAGGAGACAAAGGCTCAGAAAAGCTGAGTAACACTTGAGGTCACAGGGATATGGAGGAGGGGGAAGGTGGGGGCCTCAGATTCGAATCCCAGGGCCTTTCTTTGGCCCTAAGAGCACCCCTGGCCACTCTTCTGTTCTAGGAGCTCCGACTGTTTGAAAACAAGAATTGTCTTGTTTGTAGTAGGAAAGCATTTGTATACATATATATATAAATAGCATGTATAATATAACATATATATTTTAGAAAGCTTATGCATTTTTAAATAGCTAAAAAAATTGTGACATTTTAATTCCACTTGTTTGACTTAGTATGAATAGAATGCTAGGTTTCTAATTTATAATCACTCAAAATTGTGATATAGTTCAATGTATTTTGGCATCTAGGATTACTGCTAAAAGTCTAGAAAATTTATTATCTTTGTGAATAAAAAAAATTTGAATGAGCCTTGAAATTTCTAATCCAATTCTGAAATACAAATAAATATGTTTAAAAAAACAAGAAATTAACATGTAATATAGTATTACTAATTAAAGTAAAATTTAGTTCAAATCTAAAAAAAATAAAAGGAATGTTTGCTCCAAGTAACTGAAGTAACATCACCAATATTGCAATTAAAATGAAAAGGATAAAAAAAAGAATCGTGTCTTTTTTAGATCCAATCACATCCCACAACTGAAGAACCTGTGGGATGGCACAGTCATTCCAATATTTGAGTCCTCATTAGAGCCAATGCAGGTTTAGGTTTAGTTAATAATACAATAATCAGCAGTTAACAGGCCTCCGGGGCTGATTGACCACGTATGAGTGGATGTAGCACAGACCCAGTCTGAGAGTGTGTTTGTAGGTTTTGCTTACACCCACAGCCAAAAACAAAATTAATTCTCTCTTGTTATTTATTATGGAAACATGGCAGTCATGAAAAAAAAAATAGGAAGACAGGTGGAAGCAGCGAATTTGTGGAAATAGAATTGAGGATCCACCACCTGCGTGGAAATAAAAGCCTTTCGAGCAAAACGGTGTATAAATAAAAGACAAGTAACTAGCACGTGTTATAAATGATGCCTTTCCTTCCCTGTGTGTCATAAAAAGCTTCCTGAAATCTTAGAAAGTCCAGCCTGGCTGGAACGTAATGAGGAGGAGAGTAACCAGCATCAGGGGGACGTGGGGACCGTGTGGCCACTGGAAACAACCGGCTCCTGGCCTCGTGGCAGCCTGTGATCCTTAATAAATAGTGTGGTAGTAAACCCAGTTAGGA